CCTAAACTATTACAAATGTGTTTTCACCTTTGGACGAAACTCTAAGGAGTATAAACCAAACACGTTTTCAACATTTAAATCGGCATGAGTCAACTCAGAATATTAACAAACCCCGTGGGAAATGGAATAAGCCTTGTATTCCAAGTGAACCGCCCTCGGCAGCGGGCGCCGCTCACTCGTCCTCCTCGATGACGGGAGTGACCGTGAAGCTGCTGGGCTCCGACGCAGGCTCGCGTTCGAGCACTCCCTTTGTGCTCTCGGTACTAATGGGAGAGCTGTTCGAGAGGGAATCCAAGCCAGAATCTTGACTGCTGGGAGGCGAGAATATGCTCTCTTTGGCTTCCGAGTAGGAGGGGCCATCCTCAAAAGTGAAGATCTGGGGCACGCTCTGGCCCAGGTAGGAGGGCGGCGGCGGCAGATAGTAGGAATGCATCCTGTACTGGGAACTCACTGCGTGGCGGTTCTCCGGGTTCTTCATCTGCTGCCACTGGTTTCCTGCCTGACCAGGCACATACGGTGCTGGGAGGCTCCGAAGGCTATTCTTCACAGGGCATCCTCCGAGGGGACCTCCCACATCCCCAGAAGAGGAATCAGCGGCCAAGGCCATGGAGTACTGCGGGTAGTTGTACAGATTGTTGTAGTAAGGAAACAGAGACGGCTGGTAGAAGCTGCTGTAGTAGGTGGAGTCTGGAACCAGGTCAGGTGCGTTGTCCACATGCCCTCTGCTGGTGACAGCAGGAATATCCTGGATGACCATGCGTCCCTCTGAAGCTGCAGTGGTGGGGGTACTGGCCGGCGGTGGCTGAGAGGGGCTGCTGTTCTCGATCATGAGGCACGCGTTGCTGCCATTGTTCTCTCTCTTCACAAGTATCTCGGCCGCACCGGGCAGCGGGATGGGGTGGCTGATGCCCAATTCCTCCTCCTGGGCCTGCTGCCTTCTCAGGGCCACCTGCGCGGCCATCACGCGCTGTCTCTCGACAATCAGGTTGCACTTCTTGCACTGGCAGTCCCGCCACATGCAGAAGCGCTTGTGGCCCTTGAGCGGCGACGCGTAGCCGTGGTTCCTGCAGCGCGCGCACTTGGGCAGCCGCGGGGACTTCTCGCTCCAGTCTTCTGTGTCCAGATTCTTTGGTGTTTTACTGGATATATTTGCTTAGCGGTTCTTCACTGCTGAGTTTCTGTGTCCTCTTCAGCTTCATGTGGCGCCTTATGCCCAGGTCTGCCCCTCTCCAGGATGCACTGGAGCGCTGCCCTTCCCGACTGGGGAGGGGTGGCCTGGCGTTCACGACCGGGGCAGCGACGCAAGAACCCCCCGAAGCGTGGTGCTCTGAACAGCCACCGGGACTGGTGTCTCCTCTGGCAAGTTACAGCGCAGAGTGTCCAGGCCTCGAGGTCGCAGTCCCACCTCCGTTCCGTCTCTGCTTGTCCACAGGGACTTTCCCTTCAGGCACGTCTGCTGCTTCCTGAGGATTCAGGCAGGGACGAGAGTCCTGCCGGGAACCCAGGGAGGCTTGTTGTCCACCCGGATCTCCCTTGTTCCGGTGCAGACACTGTGAGGTGGGGGATTCTCCACATGCTTGTTGCCACTGGCGGGGGCGGGGGGGCGTTGTGTATCTGGAGTCCAATCTCTCCCCACCTCACAGAGTTTTCCCACATCTCCGTGGCTGTGAGAACTGTCCCGTTTTCATATGTGAGTTCTGGGAAATTGCTTGTTGTAATCTCAGCACTGTACATTTGCCTTTGGTTTTTGGTGGGGAACAGTGAAGCCCACTTACTACGATGCCACAGTTTTGCAATCACAAGTCCAAAAATCCTTTATTTTTTAGAACAGTTTAATGTTTATGGGAAAATTGGGAAGATAGAACAGTGAATTGTCCAATACCCTATACCCGTTTTTCTCTGTTACTAACATCTTCCAAGAGTACATGTCATAACCAATGAGCATTGGTGATATTGATTCATGCATTAACATTCACTAAGCATGTGTTTTATTGAGATGTTTGTCGTTTTCCCTGACATCCTGTCCCTGTCCCAGGATCCCACACATGACAGCACACAGCATTCGGGCATCATTTCTCCCCAGGGTGCTCTGGGCTGGGCTGTGATAGTTTCTCATACCTTCGCTGTTGTTGTAATTGTTTTAAGAGACAAGGCCTCACTCTGTCACCCAGGCTGGAGTGAAATCACACGGCCATAGCTCACTGTAGCCTCCAGCTCCTGGGCTCAAGTGATCCTCCTGCCTCAGCCTCTCAAGTAGCTGGGACTACAGGCATGCGCCACCACACTCGCTATTTTTTCTTTATTTTAGGTACAGACCAGATCTTGCTGTGTTGACTAGGCTGGTCTTGAACGCCTGGTCTCAGGGATCCTCCCACTTTGTCCTCCCAGAGGGCTGGGATTACCGGTGTGAGCCACTGTGCCCGGCTGTCTCCTCGTTTATGTGACAGATTGGAGAAGCATTGCTCAGGGACTTCGTTAAATGTCCTACGCTTTGTGTTGCCGGATGCTTTTCTCACACTTAGTTGTGCATTTTTGTGAGAAGGTCACGAGGCAAAGTGCCCTTTCCACACATCGTGTCAAGGGCACACGCTGCCACATGACATCGCCGCTCGTGCTGACCTCGATCCCTGAGCCGCACGAGCGTTTGTCAAGGTCTTCAAGGCGATGCCAGCCTGTCCATCTTTTCATAACGTGCTCTTTGGAAGAAAACCAAAGCTTATTTGCTCTGCTAGAGAAATAGGGGACATGAAGCCAGGGCGGAGGAGAGAGTCCCAGGAAACAATTCACTTTAGGTTAGGGGAGAAACACAAAGATCGCACAGGAAGGAAAAACAAAAACAAAAACAAAATAAATTCTCTTCCTCCCTTTGGAAAACACTTGCTCCCCGGTCCTGCGGAAGGTGCCCTCTGCTTGGACAGTCTTGAGAGTCCCCTGCAGGGAGGTCTGTGTCTGGGCTCACACCAATGTCCCCACTGTGTCTTCTGACAGTAACACATGGCTCTGTCCTCAGCAGTCACCGAGCCCAGCTGCAGGGAGAGCTGGTGCTTGGACGTATTTTTGGAGATGGCCGGTCCACGCTTTGGGAACAGGCTGTAGTCTGTGATCCATTCGTGATGGATGGATTTTACCCATCATAGGCCCTTCCCGGTGGCTGCTGCATCTGCCTACAGTGGTGCTCTACTTTGGATGTTTGTCCCCCAAATCTCACGTTGAAATTTCATCCCCAGTGTTGGAGGTGGGCTCAGTAGAGGTGTTTGTGTCATGGGGAGGATCCATTGTGAATGGCTTGGTGCTCTTCCCAAGGTAATGAGCAGTTCTCACTCTGTTAGTTCCCATGAAAGCTGCTAGTTTAAAAGAGTGTGGCCCTGCCACCCCCCTCTCCTTCTCTCTGCACATGACATGTCTGCTCTCTCCCTTTGCCTTCTGACATGAGCGGAGGGTCACTGAGGCCCTCACAAGAAGCAGACACTGGCTCCATGCTTCTTTTACAGCCTGCAGAAACTTCAAAGAAACTTCTTTATAAATTACACAACCTCCGGTGTTCCTTTTCAGCCATGCAAAATGGCCTAAACAAGCAGTAACCACTATTTGTGGTGCAATCACTGAAAGAATTTGCAAAGACTAGACCAGCCCTACAGGGAGTACTCAGACCTGCATTACACACCGAACAGCACAATAGACACTCTTTAAAGTAAAATCATTCAGGAGTTAAAGGCTAGAAGTTGGACTTCATGATGGCTCAAGGAGTAAAACAAAATAATAGGATTTCACCCAACAATATGCATGGAAATCTACCTCAAATTTCAATCTTTTCAATAAATGTGAATGGTTTAAACTGTCCTCTGAAGAGACATAGACTGGCAGAGTGGATAAAAATCCACAAGCCCAGTGTCTGCTGTCTACAGGAAACACATCTAACATACAAAGATGCCTTCAGGCTCAAGGTCAAGGGATGGAAAACAATCATCCAGGCAAGTGGAAGTCAAAAGAAAGCAGGAGTAGCCATACTATTTTCAGATAACGTAAGCTTTAAAATAACAAAAGTAAAAAAGGACAAAGATGGCCACTATATAATGGTGAAAGGGAAGATCCAACAAGAAGAATTAACAATTCTTAATATTTGTGCACCCAACTCAGGACCACCCAATTACATAAAGCAAACCTTGTCTGATCTAAATAGCATGATAAACAATAACGCCATGGTATTGTATTCAACACCCCACTGAATGAACTGGGCAAATCTTCCAAACAGAAAATAAGCAAAGAAATAATGGACTTAAACAGAGCTATAGAACAAAAGGGTCTGACAGACCTCTACAGAACATTCCACCCAAATAAAGCTTAAAATACATTCTTCTCAGCAGCCCATGGAACTTTCTCCAAAATTTATCACATACTAGGCCACAAATCAGATCTCGACAAATTCAAAAAAACTTGGAATGATACCGTGTATCTTCTCTGATCATAGTGGTATAAAATTAAAGTTCAATTCCAACAGAAATACTCACCACCTCACAAAGTCATGGAAATTAAACAATCTATTGTTGACTAACAATTAGGTCAAGGAGGAAATACAGAGGGAAATCAAGAGTTTCTTTGAACTAAATGATAATGGAGACACTAGTTGTCAAAACCTATGGGATACAGCAAAAGCATTCCTGAGAGGAAAACTAATAGTGAAAAACAGAAAGCTCAAAAATTGACAATTTAATAAACTGTCTCAAGGAATTGGAAAAGGAAGAGCGAATCAATTCCAAACCTAGTAGAAGAAAAGAAATAACTAAGATCAAAGCAGAACTAAATGAAATTGAGAACAAGAGAACTATACAGAAGGTCAACAAAACCAAAAGTTGGTTTTTCAAAAAGATCAACAAATTGACACTCCTCTTGTGAGACTGACAAGAATTCAAAGGGAAAGGACTCTAACAAACTCAATTAGAAATGAAAAAGGAGAGGTCACAACAGATACCACAGAAATATAAAATATTATTTTCGATTACCATATAAAAACCTATATGCCCAAAAACTACATAATGAGGAGGAAATGGACAAACTCCTGGAAACAATACAACCTCCCTAAGTTCACCCAGGAGGTAATAGAATTTCTGAATAGACCAATCTCAAACTCAGAAATTGGAGCAGCAATTAAAAACCTCCCAAGACAGAAAAGCCCTGGACCAGATGGCTACACCTCAGAGTTTTACCAAACATACAAAGAACTCATACCTATACTACAGAAATTATTCCACAACATTGAGAAAGATGGTATCCTTCCTAACTCATTCTACCAAGCCAATATCGCCTTGATACCAAAGCCAGGAAAGGACACACACACACACAAAAACTACAGACCAATATCCCTCATGAATATAGATGCAAACATCCTCGACAAAATTTTAGCAAATTGAATTTAGCATCATATCAAAAAAGTAATTCACCATGACCACATGGGCTTTATTCCAGGGATGCAAGTCTGGTTCAACATATGCAAATCTATAAATGTAATTCACCACGTAAATAAAAGCAAGAACAAAGACCATATGATTCTCTCAATGGATGCAGAAAAAGCATTTGACAAAGCCCAGCACACCTTTCTGATAAAAACTCTTAATAAACAGGCATAGATGGATCATACCTTAAAATTATCAAGTCCATTTATGATAAACCCACGGCCAATGTCATACTGAATGGGGAAAAATTGAAACCATTCCCACTTAGAACTGGAAGCAGACAAGGTTGCCGACTATCTCCACTTCTATTCAACATAGTGCTGGAAGTCCTTGCTAGAGCAATTAGACAAGACAGGGGAATTAAGGGTGTCCAATTGGGGGCAGATGAGATCAAACTCTCACTCTCTGCTGATGATATGATATTATATCTAGAAAACCCCAAGGATTGAACCAAGAGATTCCTAGAATTGATAAACGAATTCAGTAAAGTCTCAGGATACAAAATCAATACACACAAATCAGAGGCATTTATACATGCCAATAACAGTCAAGCCAAAATTCAAATCAAAAATGCAATACCCTTTACAATAGCCTCAAAGAAAATTAAATATCTAGGAATATACTTAAAGAAAGATGTGAGAGACATACACAGAGAGAACTATGAAACACTAAGAAAAGAAACTGTAAAAGATGTAAACAAATTGAAAAAATCTACCTTGCTCATGGATTGGTAGAATCAATATTGTTAAGAAGTCCATATTACCTAAAGTGATCTATAGATGTAATGCAATCCCTATCAAAGTACTATCATTATTCTTTACAGATCAAGAAAAAATAATTCTACACTTTGTATGGAACCAGAGAAGACCTCCTATAGCCAAAGCAATCTTAAGTAAAAAGAACAAACTTGGAGGTATCAGTCTACCAGACTTCAAGCTGTACTACAAGGCTATAGTAACTAAAACAGCAGGTACTGGCACAAGAACAGAGACATAGACCTTTGCAACAGGACTGAGAATCCAGAGATGAAACCATCTGCATATGGTGATCTAATCTTTCACAAAACAGACAAAAATATACACTGGGGAAAAGAATCTCTTTTCAACAAATGGTGCTGGGAAAATTGGATAGCTACATGCAGAAGAATGAAACTGGATCCCCACCTCTCACCTCTCACAAAAATCAGTGCGAAATGGATAACAGACGTAAAACTAAGGCATGAAACCTTAAGAATTCTAAATGAAGATGTTGCGAAGACCCTTTCAGACATCCGCCTGGGCAAAGAATTTTTGAAGAAGACCCCCAAAGCAATCACAGCAGCAACAAAAATAAATAAATGGGCTCTGATCAAATTAAAAAGGTTTTCCACAACCAAGGAAACTATCATTAGAGCGAATAGACAGCCTACAGAATGGGAGAAAATATTTACTCTCTACACATCGGATAAAGAGCTGATAACAAGAATCTATCTAGAACTTTAAAAAATAAACAATGAAAAATCAAACAACCCCATCAATAAACAGGCAAAGGAAATAAACAGAAACTTTTCAAAAGAAGACAGAATAATGGCCAGCAAACATACAAAAAAAATGCTCAACATCTCTAATCATTAGAGAAATGCAAATCAAAACCACAATGAGACATCACCTAACCCCAGTGAGATTGGACTCTACCAAAAAATTCCAATACAACAAATGCTGGCCTGGATGTGGAGAGACAGGAACACTCTTACACCGCTGATGGGGCTGCAAATTACTGCAACCCCCGTGGAAAAGAATTTGGAGATACCTTGAAGAGCTAAAAATAGAAATACCATTCGATCCAGCAATAGCACTATTAGGCATGTACCCAAAAAGCAAAAGACATTCTACAATAAAGACATCTGCACCCGAATGTTTATGGCAGCACAATTCACTATTGCAAGGGTGTGGAAACAACCCAAGTGCCCGTCAATTCAAGAGTGGATTATTAAAGTTTGGTATATGTATACAATGGACCAGCAGCATCTGAAATGTGGGTTGGATGCAGTTTAGGAGAAGAGTCAAAGACGGGACAGCAGGATGTGTTTGGAGAAGGGGTGGGAGGTCTCTAAACAGCATCTATAAAAGAAGTACAGTGTTAACTGTGCATGTGTTTAGAAAAATGCTGAAATCAGTATTACTATAGACTAAGTCGTTTTCTGTGCAGGGTATGGGGAGTGTAATTTCTTAGGTTTGTGGGCTTTGTCTTTTAAATTTTTAATGATGTGTCTTCATTGCAATGAAAAAAACAGGTATCATTTAAAATTTTAATATAAAATTAATTTATTTACTGATGCACTTATTTTCATGAATTGCACTTTATTTGATGAAATAATATTTATTTAATTTATTTGGATACACTGGGCATATGCCTGCTCTTCTGAAAGCCTGGCTTCTGTTATTCGTTGCAACTGACTCGGTTTACCTGCTTTCTCACCTCATTGAAATGGGGCGTGAGGAAGGGAGGGAGGAACTGACGTTCACCGAGCTCCCGCTCAATGCCAGAGACCTTGCTGGGCATTTTTGCCTATTTGTTTTTCTGACTGAACTTCTTGGATGCAGTGTTCAACCCCACAATCTCGGTTTCCCGCCAGGAGAATGTGGGCTCCAGGCGGGCACAGCTCGTGCTCAGTGGGGTGTCTGGACCCATGTCCCTCTCACCCCAAAGCCCACAGCCACCCCCGTGAGGAACAGGCAGCTTGGGCAGGGAGCAGCCCTGGATCGCCCTGAACCCACTTTGGGTTTTAGAAGACAGATTACCTGGAGAACGAGGAAAACCTGCTTGCTCGGGAGCACACTTCGGAGAAATGCCACGAACGTGCCCTTAAAGGAGCTGGTGGCAACTTCGGTTAATTCTGGGACCAGCGACCTCAGGTCGGGACCCAGTAGTTGGCTCAGGTCACCTGTCCTGGTCAGAGGCTCAAGCTCAGCTTGGGCTCCTCATGGCCTATAAAAAGATGTAGAAGACACAAGCACATGGTTTCGAAGATTTATTTCAGAGTGAGCGTCGGTGACCTAAAAAGAGAACTTGTGACAGAAGCCAACGCCTCCCATTCTCCCATGATGTGAGAGGACCCCTGAGTCTCCCGCAGACTCCAAGAAACGTGGACGTGAGCTTGTCCGTTTTCTCCACCGATCCTTTTGCCTAGATGTTCCGACTGTATTCCCCATATTTTTACAGGGGTTCGGCAGGTGGCTCTCTTCCTGTGGGCTCAGAATATGTCATTTCCTCAACTTTGGTAGTCTTAACAGTTCGAACATTTGTGGCCACCCCAAAGAGCAGAGCACCTATCAAGGCATAAATACGAGCAAAGGCCACTCTCAAATAGACTATCGGCTCCTCGCTTTGTGTCACCAGCCGCCTTCTCCTTGGAGGGGGTCCGCTGTCCGCACTCCCACCACCACCTCGTCGTAGGCACAGGGGAGGGTCCCAGCCTATGTGGCAGTGGCAGTTCCTTTTGTTGTTGCAAACACCCCGACGATTGCACTTCCCAGGGTCGCAGTCGTAATTCAGGTCAGCCACAGTCCCGTTGCACCGATTGGCAGTGCAGAACTTTCCAGGAGCACACAGAGTGCCGTTCCTCACGTGGCCGGCATCTGTGGCTCCCGTGGAACGGTGCTCGTCCAGCCCGAAGCAGGGGAGGCCTGATATGATGGACTGGTGGAAGGAAACGTGTTCCTGAAGGTGGGGGAGATGGGTGACGTTGGTGCACTGGAGCCTCCCACACATCCTGTCCCGTCTAGCACAGCCGACGAAGGTCATTTTATCGTACTCTCTGTAACAGTGTCCGAATCGGCTCGTTCCCATGTTTATGTTGTAGCAGATCTCGTGAGCGTTCTCCGCGCTGGCACCGAAGATCTCCTTGCAGTGCATGCTGCGGTCGGTGCAGTTCCCTTTGTAGCAGTAGCCTTCCTGGGTGCACGGGGTTCCGTCTTGCATGTAAACGTTTCTGGGGCAGCTTATGGAGGACCCGGTACAGTACTCTGGAAGATCACATATATTCCGGACAGGTCTGCAGAGGGTCCCGGAAGGGGAGTAGGTGCAGTTGGTGCAGCACGACCCTATATGACAATTGCTTCGGGGTGTAAACCGGCAGTTGCTTTTACAGCACTCGCTGGTGTAGCACTGCTTCAGGGAGCCACAGTCACACTGCTCTGTGTCCTCCACTACGGAGTTGCCGCAACGAAACTGCGTCATGCTTTTATTGTGAAATTCTGGATATGGTACGAAGAGACACGCCCCAGGCTTTCCCATAGCTATATGTTGGAAATGTATAAAGGAGCAGTTGCTGAATGCGTCCGTCAGCTTGGGGAACTGCTCCATTATGCAGGAACTTCTTCTGAGGCATCTGCACTCTTCGTCATCATAAAACATACCATAATTTCTCATAATTTTATTGGCTATTACGATAGATAGAATTAAATAATGTCTATATAGATAACCAACATGCAGTAGGTTCTCGCCACGGCACAAGCCATACAGGACAGGCGCAGCTTGGTGATCACGTGGCCAGTCTTTAATAAGCAACACGGATGCCGTAATAACCGTGCGGCTAGAAAAGTGTTGCACATAATAAGTAAACATCTGACTTCCTGGAACCCTGTAGTCGTTCAGGGGGGCGGGATCCCTGTCCGTGTATATGGTTATGAGAGTAAGCAGGAACCTCGAATTAAGACCGCGAAGCATGTTGTCAGACAGACTGGACAGCCGCACTATGAACTGGATGCACATCGAGATGTTTGCAAACATCCGGTACATGGAAGTGGAACACTGGACTTGGCCTATGACGTGGGACGCGTGCGAAGCATAGCCCGACGGAGAGAGCCTGGGAGCCGCGCTGGGGTCCGCCTCGGAGAGCAGGGCGCCCACGTCCTCCTTGTGCCTCAGCGTGTACATGGGCCCCGTCGCGTTGCGGTCGGCCACTATCTGGGAAACGACGTGTTCGAAGCTGCGGGAGTCCTTCAGGGGCTTGATCTCGTAGGCAAGGTCATCCAGCTTCATGACTCCGTGCAGGCCGCCGTAGCACGTGTCGACGGCGACCGTGGAGAGAGGAATCTCCTCCAGGTAGCCGAGGTAGTAGCAGTCTGCGGGCACGTAGGGGTGGTCCATCTGCAAGGCTCCTTGGTCATCCTGGGTCGTCAGCAGCAGATGTCTGGGCTGAAGAATTTTCTTGGGCCGCAGGTGGATGACGTGCCTCTGGCCCCCGAAACGCAGGCTGTAGGAGAGCCAGCCCGGCGCCTGGAAGCCTTTGCCACGGCGCGTCTCCTTCCTAGGAGTCACCACCTCCGAGGACACGTAGCGCCAGGAGGGACGGCCCTGAGAGCCCTGGACCGAAGCCAGGAGCGCCCAGAGCGCGAGCAGCACCAGGGGGGCCCTGAGGGCCCCCGTCCCCCTGCCCGCCTCGCAGCCCAGCTCGGGGGATTCATCCAAAGAGAGTGGCGAGAGGGGGCGTCCTCGGGAAGCCAGGTCTGAACCGGCTGCGGGGGCCACTTCCCGCCGGGGAGACTCTGACAGGGAACAAAGGGGCTCCTCAGGCCCCAGCTCCCAGCCTGGGTGGTTACCTGGACACCCGGGACCAGTAACAGTCACGGGGCGTGGCACCGGGTGGCCGGGACATCACAGCCGGGGAGGTGGCGGGGGAGGGGGCAGGGTGTGTGTGCACTCACCACGCTCAGTCCTTTCTCCCGTCTCTGAACACACGACACGCAGCCCTCACATCTTCAGTTACACAGTCTGTGAATTCTACTGCTCACGTAGCAACACCTTCTTGCCCGGTTTCTGTAAGTTAGTATCTCCCCTTGGCATGGGTCGCCCTCCTACTTCCCTGGCACGTGGAGATAGACTGCATTTTACCCTTCCGGGTGCTGGATGTTTTTATTCTTACGAACGCACGTCTTACTTGGGCTTGCAGCTGAAACATCCGGGAGCAGTTTCATCCGTGCTTTCGCTCTGAGGTTTTGCTCAGTGTGCCAGGCCCACGTTGCAGCAGCTTGACGCTCCGCACGGCAGCCTCCGGGGAACGCGTGTGAGGACCGTGAGTGACGGGGGCGCCGCGTGTTTGCACTGCAGCCGTGGGCACGGGCGCCCCTGACCGGAGCGGGCGCCAGGCGCTGCCCCCGCCAAGCCTCCCCGCGGTCCTTCGGCAGTTCCCGCAGACGCAGGCACTGCTCGGTCCTCAGCAGGAGACACAGGGGGACCCCGTGCTTGTGCCCAGCGTCTGAGGACGAATATTTCACGTGCTCTTTCTAATTCCATAGTTGTTTGTGGGGGGAGAAAAAAACTCTTTGCCAGGTAATGATCAGAGGCAAAAATTTGAACACTCCACCCTGTGAATTCTTCTCTTCCATTTTACAAATGCAGTCTCTCCACTTGTATTAGTGTATTATTCATTTTAAAGTTAATTTTAATAAATCCTCATAACGAATATAGCTGATAATCTCTATCAGCTTTGATTTGACCACAAGGGAAGATTTCTATAAACCTTTTATAACTTTTATAGATTTTCCCACTCTCTTTATTTCACTTTTTATACGTATTTAGTCTCTCGTGCCCTTGTTTATTTCCCTAACCTACGGATGGGAGGACGGGAAACGCCTTCGCCTGGTTTCAGGGCTCAGCGTCCGCTGTAGCGTCCTGTTGCGTCCTCACAGGCGCCCTGCGCGGGGCAGGGGAAGGCCCAGCAGGGGCCGCAGGGCTCTCGCGCAGAGTCGGCTGTGCGCCTGCGCAGGGGAGGGGGCGACTGCCGAGTCCTCGTGCGGACGGCTTGCGGGTGCTGGCGTGGGGATGAGGCTGCATCTCCACTGTGGACGGAACTTCTCGGGTGCCCAGAGCAGGGAGCCCCGCTCCTGTCGCAGCTGCTGAAGTTCCCGTCTTCTGCTCAGACGCAAGCCCGCGCATCCCTGGGGTGCAGAGGGTCAGGCTCCCGTGTGCGCTGTTCCCTCCTGTGCATGCTGTGCGCAGAGCTGTGCCATAGGCACGGCTGCTACCGGAGCCCACCCGCGGAGCCCACCTGCGGAGCCCACCTGCGGGGCCCACCTGTGGAGCCCACCTGCCAGAGCCCACCCGCGGAGCCCACCTGCGGGACCCCACCTGCAGGACCCCACCTGCCAGAGTCCACCCGTGGAGCCCACCTGCGGGACCCCACCTGCGGGACCCCACCTGCCAGAGCCCATCTGCAGAGCCCACCTGCGGAGCCCACCGGCAGTCAGGCCATGGCTGCTGATTGAGCGTCGCTGCACGTGGCGAAGTAAGTGTCCTGTCTCTAACACTGTGTGATTGTCCCACGGAACATTCTCTTAAAACCTATAAGTTGTCTGCAGTTCCTAACGTTTATTTTTTTTACTAATTTACTCAAAATGAGGTACAATTTACACATAAGTATGTTTTTTTTTTCCTTAAGGTGAAATGTAGTCAGACAATGACTGTATCACCTGCCTCGACCTCTTGTCAATAAAGACTGTTCTGGGCCGGGCGCGGTGGCTCACGCCTGTAATCCCAGCACTCTGGGAGGCCGAGGCGGGCGGATTGTTTGAGCTCAGGAGTT